AAAACTCGAGGAACCACAGGAAAAGGCTTTTTGTCAGGATAAAGGCAGGTGAATGGTATTTTACCATTAAGAACAGGAGAGGGCATCCTATTGATCAGGAAACATGCACTGAGGACTGCATCAGACCACAAATACTTTGGTACATTCATATGTACCATCAGGGTTCTAGCAACGTCTAAAATATGTCTATGCTTCCTTTCAGCAACTCCATTTTGTTGTGAAGTGTGAGAACATGATGTTTGGTGGATAATACCAATATTTGCACAAAAACGAGATAAGTCATGTTTCATGTATTCCAAAGCATTATCGGTACGAAGGATACGAATAGAGGTAGAAAATTGGTTTTTGATTTCTTTGTAAAATATTTCGAAAACGGTGGAAACCTCAGATCTCTCTTTTAAAAGATAAAGCCAAGTCATGCGAGAGAAGTCATCAATAAAGACAAGAAAATATCTGTAACCGTTCACGGAAGGAATACGACATGGACCCCAAACATCAGAATGGACTAACTCGAATGCAGAACTGCTGCGTTTATCAATACGACTCGGATAAGTAGCACGATGGTGCTTACCCAGTTCACAAGACTCACAACCTAAAGAAGAAATAGAAGACTGGATAGAAATGACAGACTTAAGCTTCGATAACGAGGGATGACCAAGTCGTTGATGCCATAATAAAGGATTATAGACCAGTAGCAGACATATTGTCATCCAAATAGTACATGCCTCCTCTCTCATGCCCCGAACCAATCGTCATTCCAGTTGCTAGGTCCTGAAAAACACAATGAGAAGGGAAAAAAGTGACTTTGCAGTTGTTGTGTTTTGTGAATTGACTGATGGACAGTAAACTAACAGGAAATTTAGGAAGATATAAAACATCAGTAAGAGTAAGAGATGAAGTAGCATGAACTTCTCCATCACCAAGAACGGGAGAGTATGTCCCATCAGCGATCCGGACCGATGGAAACTTATCAGAAGGGTTGGGAGAGTATGTCCCATCAGCGATCCGGACCGATGGAAACTTATCAGAAGGGTTGAAGGAAACAAAGTGGTCCTTAAGACCCGTCATATGAGAAGAGGCGTCAGAATCTAATACCCATAGTCTGTGAGGAGAGGCAATGTAGGCATCCATACTGGAAGAGGATGCATGAGTAGCAGAATAATTGTTCTGAGTGAGATCGAGTTGACACAGCCGGTCATACTCAGTTTGAGAAATCTGAATAGTGGAGGGAGCAGAAGTAGTAACAGGAGAAGCAGCAGAGGTAGGTGTAGTAGTGGTAGCAGAAGATATGGCAGATCCTGTCATTGTTACAGAATAGGATAGTACGATATCAGGAGGATAACAGTCTCCTTGTATAAAGTAGAAACCCGAAGGTCAGAACTTGAGTTATAACCCGAAGGTCAGATGTGAGGAACCCGAAGGTTAAAAACCCGAAGGTTAGTTTTGAGGAACCCGAAGGTTAAAAACCCGAAGGTTTTTTTTTTTTTTTTGAAATAAACTTTCTGTTTTTTTTTTTTGAAATAAACTGTCTTTTTTTTTTAGATCTCTTTCAGCAGACGTATACAAGACTCAGCCCAAGGCCCAACAACAGAAAGGGCCAACTAACAAAAGCCCAAATAACAACAAAAAAGAACCCGCAGGTCAACCAAGCCTAAATATTTTCGAAGGAGCGGATCTGGATTAGCGATCAGCGATCAGCGACGACGAGGTGTTCTATAAGGTGAAGTAGCGACGACCGTTGAGGACGATGAAGACGAGGACGAAGCAAGCAGCGACGGCGAACTTCAAAGGAGATCTGACAGCGGCGAGCTTCGAAGCAGCGACGACGACGACTGCCAGCTTCTTCGCCGATGTTGACGAGCGTCGAAGGAGATCTGGCAGTGGCGGCTCGCGAAGAAGACGAGGGCGAAGCAAGCTGGATCTGAGAGGAGGAGGACCGCCAAAGGTAAGGGGTAGGGTTTCGTAGTGCAGCAGCAGTTTTTTTTTTTTTTTGTTTTTTTTTGTTTTTGAATTGGAGGCAGTAGGGTTAGGGTTTTGGAACCTGGCTCTGATACCATGTTAAAACTAAGAAATCAGATGGCTTGACCATTTCATTCATCTCCATGGGTATATATAGGGTTACATATAGGTAATAGGCTAATGGGTTAATGGGCCCTAACCCGATAACCTAAGAACTAATTCTAACAGTCCCTCAGTCGACTGATGAGCTGGAAAACGCCTCTAAAGGTCAGCTCATCAGTCGACTGATGAAAGTCGTCAGTCGACTGATACTGTAACGGCTAGTTTTTTTTTTAACTTGTTCCAGTTTTGGGTTTTTAGTCTTTTTGCTTTGTTTTTCTTGTGTTTTGGGGTCTCTATAAATACCCCTCATACATCAGACCAAAAATGACCAAGAGAATGTTTTAAGAAAGTTTAACAAGGGTTTAAAGTTTGGTTTAAGTTTGTTTAAAGGTGTTTAAGCCTTATTTAAGAGTTTTGTTTGTGAAGATAATTTCATAAGAGCAAGAGAAGATCATCATTTGGTGTTTGAGCTTCAACTCATCTCTCTCTCACTCTTGTCATTTATTGGAGAAGTTTTCTAAACTCAATCTAGCTATTTTATATGTTTGATTTTTATTTCCATAAGCTAGAATCTATATGGAGTTTAGTTTGATTTTGTTTTATTAAATCTCATTGTTACACACACCCATTTGAGCTTTTAGTATTTTCATACATATTATAATTTGGGGTGTGAAAGATTGTAACCTTGAGTTGTGCTTAATTGAGTTCTCCCATTATTTAAAGAATAATCAATTGATTAGTGAGCTATTATTGTGGGATTCACTTTGTATTATACTAGTACACTAAGAGAAGTATGTGGTGAGAGACGGGGTCGTCCCAAGAGGAGTGGGGTAGGTGGTAATACCTAGAGAGAGGTTGTAATTCCTAACACTTGAGGGAGACATAGGCTAGAGACCAACACCTTGAGGTGGTAGTTAGTGTAGTTACATTATGAGTGATTATGAACGTTGATCGGTGAGCATTGAAAACCGACATTGTGAGGTGTAAATATTTTTCGGGTAAGCGTAGAAAACCCGGTGTGATAGTGGAGATCTCCTCGATGTGAGGAGTGGAGACGTAGGTCGTGGGGATCGAACTCCGTAAACATATCATTTGTTTGTGACTATATTGTTGCACTTTTACATTCGTGCTTATTATTCTTATTGCCTTTGTCAATTGATCATTGTTTATATTGTCCACTATCTTGCTTATATTGCTTTGTGTTTATATCACCCTTAGTTTCATATCCTTGTATATTAAGTGTTGCATATCTAATTTGCTAGGATATATTTGTTAATAAGTTTTAAATTGACATAAATCAGATTAGATTAGTATAAATCCTATTCACCCCCCTCTAGGGTTCCTTCCTAGTGGTATTAATGTGCTTTCAATTGGTATCAGAGTACTTTCACGTTTCAACATTAAGATGCGGAAGCTTTCCCCGCGTACCAGCATCAAGACGCACTGTGTTCACAGCCGCTGACACAGTGCAAACATAGCTCACATTCAGCTCCAAACGCAGCTCAGATCCAGCTGCTACCGTAGCTCATGTTCGGCCGCAAACGCAGCCTCAAAAAGCTGCCAACGCAGCTTCCATCCGCTGCTAAACGTAACTCTTAAATACTGCCAACGCAGCTTCCAACAAGCTGCCAACGCAGCTTCTAATAAGCTGCCAACACAGCTTCCAGACGCTGCAAACGTAGCTTCCAAACGCTACAAATAAGCTTCCAGACGCTACGTCCGAGATTCAAGACGTTGCGTTTGAATGCAGAATTCATGCTAGAACGTAATTCTTATGTTTGACTCATTCAAACAAGAGCTGAACGGTTCTAAAACCATTTCCCACAATCTAAGGGGATCACAACTCCACTCAGGAGTGATTTAAGGGGCAGTTACATCCCATAAGCCCCACAAAGGAGCGATTTTAGGGGCGGTTACACCCCCTAATCACCTATAAATAGCTAAAAAATCGGGTTAGTTGAGATCTTTTGGGATCTTTTTGGATCTAGGGATCTTTGAAGCATTTTCGGATCTAGAGATCAGCAAAGGAGCTTTCATCCTTGGCTTATTAACCGATTTTCGGTTCAAATCAACTCTTTTTCAAGAGTTTAAACTCGCTCTGAGTTATCAACTCATTCAGAGTTTCAAACTTGCTATGCAAGTCCTCCACAGTGTCAAATCATGAAGAGAAGATACTGTTCCAGTGAAGTGAAACATCGGATCGTCAACGGAGAGCAAACTCGACGCGAGCATTCGAGGGAGGCACTTCATCGCCACCGTGAAGAACCCAGAATTAAACAAAGAGGAGAATTTACATCAATTCTCTTCTCTTTTGTAATCGAAAATTTAAATTGTAATCAAGATTGAGAGAGTTGTAAACATTCTTTTTCTAAGCAGTTAGAAAGAATAAAACACTCAATTCTTTCATTTTCTTATTACAAATTTTCCACCAAACAGATCTCCTCTTTCCTTTGCGCCCTCACCTCTCCTCGACGGAGCAAAATGGCAGCCTCCTCCTCACTCCAGTTCATCCGCTGACCTTCTCGCCCTCGTTACCCTTCTCTCCTCGGCTCCCGTGCGTCAACCGACCTTTCCGCCGCCTCTCCTTCACTTCCCCTCGTTCATCGACTTCAAGGCCATCCCCTCTCTAGCATCCACTAATTAGGTACTTATCTCTCTCCTTTACAATCTTCGTCAGTTTCAATTTTTCCTTTTATCTATTTAACAAAATTTTTATTTAATTTTATAAATAACAGCATTTCTAGACAAAATTTCCCTTTTATTTAGTGATGGGGATCCTTTTTACTTTTTTGGTTTTTTTCCCCTTTTTGGTAAGTACGTGAAGCTTTTCATTGCCGATGGAAATAATCCAGAACTCTCTGCTCTTATTAGAATCTTGGAGCTTAAAATTCCTACCGCACTGGATTTTGGTATCAAACCCAGCAAGCTTCAAAATCGTACATGATTGTTGTTGTTTTTATTGGTATCTAGAGTATAGTTATTTGAAAGATGATCAAAGTCATTGTGCAGAACACTGTATTTAAACAGGCAATAGAGGAACATCCTTATTTTCGAGCACGTGGCATGGCGAGCTGTATCTGCAAGCTCGATGTAACTGTAAAAAAGAAATAGTGCACATGTAACCTGCGTCTACTTTTACTGTATCTGCAAGCTCGATGTAACTGTAAAAAAGAAACAGTGCACCTGTAACCTGTGTCTACTTTTACGCCATCAGGGGTTTAATTAGTAATACACAACTTTGTGCCCGACATAATTCAATGCATAATGTAACCAGAATCATACAGCTATAGGGACAAATCTGTGAACCAATGTTGCCAAGTAATACCTGTAACCAATGTTGTCTTGGTTGATCTTTGAAAGTGGTTAAAATTATTACATGCATTTCTTAATTATTACATACGAAAGAAGATAGGATTATGATTAGATTAATTTAACAAGATGCATAAGTCCTAGATTATATCTATATGCTATTTTATCTGTGCACCATACTATATGCTATTTTTTTCTTGGTTGTTCTTTGTCCATATTGAACCTGATATCCACTCCTGAAATATAAGCAGTGCCTGAAGTTGGTTTTGTAAGCCCAATCATATGCAGATACAGTAGACATCATTGAAATTTAGCTTTAATAAAATTTTGAAATCATGATATTGTGCACGAAAATGGGGTTGTCTAAATCTTCAGGTTTGCATAGATGATGACAAATCACTTCTATTAGTCAGATGGAAAATGTCAAAGAAATGAATAAGAGACGAGTCTCCTGTTATAATATTTATCTGGGAGTGATATTGGAGCATGATAGATATGATAATTTGAAAATGGAGCATGAGGTGGTAACTCTTCAATTTAATTTTCTTTTAGTCCAACTACTTCACTCCTGAGGACATCGGATGACAATGGGAAGGACCATGTAATCATCAATTTAATATTTATTTACTACCATAATAAGTTTATGTGGCATAGTTTTATTCTTACATATAAGAGCTTCAGTATATTGATACTCGAGATATATATTTATCCAGCGGTAGTTGGTTTTTGGTTGAGCCATATTATTTCTCTTTTTTTTCTTTTTGAGTCAAATATAATATATCTCATTTACTTGCTATAACCGCATCCTCACAATTTTATATTAGCTCTATAATGATAAGTTTTAGTTCTCTAAAAAAAATATGAAACTAATAAATTTTCATTTTTTAGATATAGCATATTTTAGTTTATGTATACTACTATTAAACAAATAGTTAATTATGCTTGAGAGAGACTAGTCCTATAAAATAACTTGCAACTCTTTAGTTCATGGATTCTTATACATTGTTAGTAAGTAGATATATATTATTGATGTCTCAATATATTTACTTTTCTCTAGCAGATACAAGTTATGGATAAAAATAGAGGTTGGATGTATAACACTTCTCGTGTAAGTGCCGAGTACATTGAAAAAGTGAATGACTTTCTTGATAGAGCATTTGCAAGAGTAGCAAAAGGGAATGAAATATGTTGTCCTTGTCGTGGTTGCTGTGATCATAGTTGGCATCAACAAGAGAGGTAGCCAATAAAGTGGTAGACAAACCCAAAAAGTATCGAGGGCAAACTAAATTCAAAAAGTTCATGTACAAAGTGTACATGATCGACAAGTTATTTTTTTAAATGAATATGGACAACCTTTCGGACCATCAGATAAGGCATGCAGTGAACTTAGCAGTTTCTTAGGCACACTTGGAAGAAACTCAATTTTTGCACCTCTGGATAAGGAAAATTGGCACAAAGTTGAAGAAAAAGATAAAGAAAAAAAATATGGGATTATGTTAAGGTATGATTTTTATTTTTAATCGCTAATTTATTTTTGTTCTTTTCCCTCTTATTTATAACAAGTATTTATGATCAAAATATTTTATTGTCAAATTATGTCAATGTAGGAAAAATATGACATTCCGGAGGAAGGAAAAAAAAATGGACCCTAGAAACTGTCAACTGTGCATGTAGGCGCTGGAAATCCTTATTGAAGAAGAAGTGCTTTGACGGGTTTAAAAATGACAAACAACGAATGAAGACACGGCCAGATACTACACCTGAAATAGAATTTAAAGCTTTGCTCAAATTCTGGAACACCGAACACTCAAAGGTAAATGAGATGAGATTAGACTTTCAAATTAGGTGTTTTCTATTCAAAAGGGAGTCTGGTTCTGGCTAGTTTGAATTAGCACACCTAAAATAAATATGACACGTATGTTTACTATAAAAGTATCAGCCAATACTTGGAACTTTGTTCTATATTGTCTGGTTCTTAGTTGTATAATTATTTGCATGCAAGTTTCTAATGGTCAGGTTGTTTTTCATTCCATGTTCCTTCTGATTGTTTAGACAACAAGTGAGACCAACAAAGCAAATCGTGAAGGTCAAGAATATATACACACTACGGGGTCAATAAGTTTTGTGAGGATTCGCAAAAAAATTGGTATTTCAATTGGTTTTGTTTAATATTATTTTTTAACTGCATCCTTTCTTTTTGTTCGTTGTTATTGTATTTAATAATATTTTAACTATCATGTCTTTATTATAGGAAAAGGAGTTGGGAAGACTTCCAAGTGAAGCTGAAATGTTTATTGAGACCCGTAAAAAGAAGATAAAACCACTAGGAGAGAAAACAATCAATTTAATAGTAAGTATATGCCATATCAACTAAATATAAATTTTCATATATTGCTTTTTAGGTCTTAATTTTCATATAACATGCATATCAACTAAATATAAATTTTGCTAATGCAAAGTGCTTTAGAAGAACTCAATCTCAAGATGAAGTTGATGATGCATGGAATTTAGTCAAGAAAGATGAACATCCTGGACGTGTATGTCTTATGGGGAGGGTTGTCACTAAAACCATGCTCTAATAAAAATAAAAAGACCGTGGACCCCTTTGGGCAAGTTCCAGAATATGTTGTTCAAACTATATCACAAAAAGTTGAGCAAGAGTTGAAAAAAAAGTTTGAAGCACAGAAGGCAGACTTGGTTCATGGTTTCGCCGCCCATGGTTTCGCCGCCCTCTTGACGGAAACACTTGGGCAAACAATTGATCTTGCGGCTATTGCAAGACTTGTTGCATGCACAAGATCACCTGAGGGAGGTAATAGTGATCGAAATCATGACCGTCCTCGCTCATCTAGAAGCAGTCATCATCCACGCAATGAGGTAGTTTTTTCTATTGTTATATCTTTCTTTTTCTTTTTTGTGTGTATGACAACTTGATTTGGACTGGTTGTTCCTTTGGTTTCATCGATCAAAGCTGACTCATCTTAATCATGGGGAGAGTGAGGTTTATAAAGGAGGATATGCAAAAGTCTGCTGATAAAAAATGAGGAAAAGATGAAGGGAGAAAAAAGGGAGGAGAAAACAATGCTTATATGATTTTTGATGAGGAGGAGAAAAGAAAAGAGAGATTCAAGAGGGGAGGGAAAATAGATGTCAAGCTATTTTATCTTCATGTCTTCCCTCCTCTTTCCCATTGCTTCTAGATTTTTTTTCTTTCACCTTTAACTTTGATGTTCATAATGTTTTAGTCTGCGTTCAGCACTTCATTCTTGTTGATCTGTTGAAGTGATTAACCTGCAGTTGGATATGTTGGTGATCTCTGCAGTAGCTTATGAATCTTGCAATGAATATAATCTTAATTTTATCTTTTTATTTAAATTTATGCAGGAAAATTGATGGTGACTAAAACAGGTTAATCCGTGCGTACGTGCTTTTCACTTATTGTGGGATTAGCTCTATCTGACAATTTACAAATTATGTATACCAATAGAGACCTTTTAGTTAAACAGAGGTCACTTTTTGTTTTAATGAAAGAGGAATTTTATACATGTACTTTGGACAAAAGAAAAAACTTGTACTAAAGCCATTGTAATGAACTAATGAATTGTTCCTTATGTTTGGTTGCTTGCTTGTAAAATTTGGAGTTTCATCTCTTTGTTTGTGACACGAGCAGATATAAATCTTGGAGTTTTTGTTTTGTTTTGTTCTTTTTAATTTTGAAACCGTAGGTCTATAAAATGTGTGATATTTGGATGATTTGCTTTGATCGGTCAAAATTGAAAATCGTCCCCTTTGCTATATATAACTGCTCCCTTATCTTGACAGCTGAAAACCATCCCCATTGCTATTTGAAAAATACAACCGTCTCCTTTGGTATAAAAACCAACTCCATAGATCACAAATAAAACCGTACCCATAGACAATAAAACCGTCCTCTTAGATCAAACCGTTCTTGTTGCTAAATAACCATCATCATCTGTAAAATTATAAACCGTCCCCATATGTTGTCTACGGGAACAATTCAAGAACCACACCACTTGGATCATGAATCCCTTAGACCAAAGACTACAGTAGCAAAGGTATCAGATGAGTAACCGTTCTCTTAAGCCTATGATGACGGTTTTATTGTCTAGCGGGACGGTTTTAAACCGTCCATGTAGTCCCATTATTTGGTAGTGAACCCACAATCAAATTAAAAATGGCATGATTTTCTTGATATCTTCAAAGGGGTTTATCGGCCATATTTTCAATAACGGTCGATATATCAAAAAGATCAACAAACAAAAGAAAATAATATAAAGTATTACTAAGATAAAGTCTTTAACCCGATATATTAGCCGATATAACAATATATTGGTCGATATTTAATAGAATGCCTATAAGAGCAAATATGTAAAGGTTATTTAAATATTAGTTCCTTGATTTTAAATATCCAATCCTACAAAATTTTAAAATTGTTCATAATATTAGGGACTAATATTAAATTATTAAAATTTTAAGGGACAAATTATTAATAAGCCATATTTAAAAGAAGTGTTAGTTTTTTTAAAACCCCTCTTAACTATGGAGATTGCCTTAGAAACCCCACTCAACTGATTCAATTTGACAAAACCCTCTCATTATGTAGGGTGTTATAGATAACCTCTCTCAACTTTGGTGCAATTTTAGAAAACACCTCTCAACTATAGCATATCTCATAAAAAATCCCCTAATCATTTACACTTCTATCAACAAACCCCCTTAACGTAGTTACTTCGATATGTGATTTTGGACAAAATACCCTCTTAAAAAAAGCAATTTTAATTAAAAAGAAACCCTCAACCGATAATAAATGGATCACAACTAATTTACAATTCTTTTCCCCTCTATATCACCTCTTTTATCTGGCAAAAGCCAAGGTAATTCTTTTATGATTGATTGATATTATAGTCTTTTCAAGTCAAGTACTTGTTACATAATAGATAAGACTCAATGATGTTAGTTTTGAGGGGTTAGGTTTAAGTGAGAAAAGTTCACTGGGATTAAATTATTTTTTTAAGTTGAGATAGATTATCTACAAAGCACCCAAAACTTGGTGGGGATTTACTCAGTCTTAAATAGTTTTATCGGGGGGGGGGGGTGGAGGGGGGGGTTGACATGCCCTCCATAGTTGAGGGGGAGTTTTCTAAAATTAACTCTTAAACAAAAAACACAACTTAAGGCACATGTGATATCAATTTTATAATAGTGAAGTTTATAGCAAGTCTATCACTCAATGAACTGGTTTGGGTTATTTGTCCTTAAATTTATCCTACACACCAACTCTAAAAAACTTTTGCTATAAGAATCTCTAAGAGAATTTTAATATTTATTTGGGATGGGTATATGATCATTCTGATTCCCTTTGTCTTTCATGATTCGTAATAAATTATTTGACAAAGTAAATTAAGTTGTCATTATATATTGCTCACATTCTTATAAGCTTATGAAGCTCATCATTATATATTGCTCACATTCTTATAAGCTTATGAAGCTCATAGCTTGGATATGAGTATTATTGCAGATATTGTATTCTTCTAACTCCTTAAGCTAAATAGCTCATAGCTTGGATATGAGTATTATTGCAGATATTGTATTCTTCTAACTCCTTAAGCTAAATTTTTAGATGTTGTTTGATATTTGATAGATATGAATTATTTTGTTAAAATACAATCAATATGAGTACATAATATGTACAAATCATTCTTAGACTATATTTTATAATTTTCTGAAACTAGCGAGTAATCAATTAGTAGTTGGGAAGATGTAAAAAGAGTACAATATCAGATATTAAAATTGATCACATAATTTATATTTTTTTCTTGATTGAATTTGCGCATTCTAACTTAAAAAATTCTTCAATATCTATAATACTTGATCGCCAGATAAACAACAGGTGGAAGTAAACAACAGGTGGAAGTAATTATTTTATAACTGAACAAAATCCTTAATGACTAGATAAAACTTACCATTTTCCTTAATGAATTCAAGAATTTATTTTTTATTAATAATAATAGGTTTTTTCCGTATTGGTCCCTTACATCATTAATATTTTGAAATTATACATTCAAATTATTAATTAATCTTAAATCAGTAATATTTTAAGGCTTTAAACATCACTATTTCTCTAGAAGACAAAATGTCAAAATCACACATGGAAATATCCAAAAAATATAATATATTATGATAATTTGAAAGTTTTTTACAACCATGTTATAGTAAATAAATAAACTTAAAGTAAATAATTATAATATTTGACCACGTGCAGTGCATGTGCATTCCACCTAGTAAAAGAAAGAGAGAGAAAGAGAGAAAGAAAGAAAGGAAGGAAGAAGATCAAAGAATTGTGTCAGGATCATCCAAACCACCAACCCACAAGCCAAACAAATCAAGTTATCCCCCAAAATGAAGTGAGCACACTTAACCCACTTACAAATCCTAAGTTAGTAACCAACACTCAAATCAATCATAGACTCGCATGCTACTAATAAGCAAGAAAGAAGCAATTAGTCCAAAAATCAAATAGATAAATAAACCAATGTCCCTTTCATTAATTGGACATCACTCAACTGCCCGGACCATGTTGTTTGATTTTATAACGCGTTTGGGTTTGTTTCCATTAAGTCTTCACTTTGAACTACTCCTCACATTACCTAATGTCTAGGCTATGGAAAATGATGTCCCTTTCTTCCTCCTTTTCTTTATTCATTTCTCTTGTCAATTTTCATCACCGTAATTTTAAAATTAGTTAGTAGCGTGTAATCTTTTTCTTAAGTCATAGATTGTCTATCCAATAATTAATTTCATTTTCTCTCCTTAGAGACCTTTTGAATATGACAATTATAATAAGTATGAAATGAGATCTTCTGTCGCTTCTAAATTGATTCAAGTATTTAATGTATATGATGGTACACTTTGTTAGTTGGACAATCTTTTAACTTAGGGGTGTTTGGTTTACCCTATGGACAAATTTTCAAAACCAACCCATTTGAGTTTTTATTTGCAAAAAACGACCCGTTTCTAGGATATTTGCAAAAACCGACCTGGTTTCAGCGTCAGTGCTGAAACCAGGTCGGTTTTTAAAAAAAAATTTCGAAACTTCACGGGAGTTGAACTCCCATGAAGTTTAGCAGCTTTTAATTAATCTCCTAAACTTCACGGGAGTTCAACTCCCGTGAAGTTTCTTAGTTCAAAATTTTTTTTTTGAATTGTGAAACTTCACGGGAGTTGAACTCCCGTGAAGTTTCGGAATTATTTTTTCTAAAACCGACCTGGTTTCAGCGTCGGTTTTTGCAAATTTGTTTGAATGGGGTCATTTTTTGGCAATAAATTCCTAAATGGGTCGGTTTTAAAAATTTGTCTTTTACCCTATACTAGCATTAGAATGAGGAATTGGATTTGACCGGGGTATTATTGTCAAAGAGTAATATGGTGGTATCATATTACTGTGTTTGGCTCACAACAAGTTTATAGATAAGGGATTCTATAAAGTTGAGAAAGACGGGAGTTTTTCTAGAAACCCAATTCAGAGGCGCTTTGGCTGGAATTGAGATAAAAAACTAACACCTTGTATTATCTTGGATTAAAAAACCCAAGTTCTCTCCTATTCATTTCTTTTCAGATTCCATCTCATAGCAAAACCCTAGAATCATTCTCCCCTTCTCTCGCTAATCTCATCCCGCCTCTTCTCTTTCCTATTCGTGCTACACCTACCCTTGGCCATTCCGATTAGATCTGATGATTCACCCTTCAAAAACGCAAAGACATCTGACGATCCCCATTTTTTATTACTGATTTTGAAATTTGATTATGATTTTCGATCTGGGCATTTAAGCTTTCGGTTTTGTTCTTGTGATTTATGGCTTCGATTTTGAGGTATAATTTCTAGTCGGAACTCAAGGGGTGCATTCGATTTTGAGCTTTGTTCTTCGATTTCGATCTTCAGTCCTAAGCTTTGATTATGAGGTTCGATTTTCAGCCATGATTTTGAGCTTTGGCAATTGAACTTTGATCTCCTTAATTGCATCAGCGCCTTTGCAATTAGAGGTATAAATCAATAATCCGAATTTTTTATTCATATTTGATCATGGAGGGTTGTTCATCATGGATGCTTTGGCAGTCGAACTTTTATTTTTTACATGCTAATAATATGTTATAATTTTTGGGGTTTTTCTGCACTTGTTTGGGGTTTTTTCTATTACACCCCAACATCGTGAAAGTTAACAATAATGTAGACTACATTTGTTATTACAGACACAATATATTGTTCTATTTTATTTTAAGAAATAAGAATACTGAATTTTTTTGCTTATTTATGTTGACTTTGTATAATCAAGTGGATAGCTAAATTAACTAATTTATGAAAATAAG